TGTCGAAACTTACGGTGAGCATGCTCTTGGTAAATCACAGTACTTTGAGAGGTTTAAAAAATTCAAAAGTGGTGATTTTGACGTGAGAAACGAAGAACGTGGAAACCACCGAAAAAGTTTGAAGACAGTGAATTGCAAGCATTGTTGGAATTTGGATGAGGATGACGCTTAAACTCAACAACTCGCGAATTAATTGAGTGTAACACGAGAAGCCCCCCGTCTCCATACGTTTGAAATCCATGGGAAAGATCCAGAAGATGGGAAAATGGGTTCCACATGAACTGAATGAAAGACAGCAGGAAAACCGAAAAACCACTTGCGAAATGCTGCTCGCCAGGTACAAAAGAAAGTTCTCCATTGAATTGTGACTGGCGATGAAAAGTGGATATATTTTGAGAATTCTAAGCGTAAAAGATCATGGGTAACTCCAGGCGAACCATCGACATCGACTGCAAGGCCAAATCGCTATGGACGGAAAGCAATGCTCTGTGCTTGGTGGGATCAGAAAGGTGTGATCTATTATGAGCTGCTAAAACCTGGCGAAACCGTTAATACTAAACGCTACCGACAACAAATGATCAATTTGAATCAAGCTTTGCGTGAAAAACGACCGGAATATCAAAAAAGGCAACACAAAGTGATTTTGCTTCATGATAATGCACCATCACACACAGCAAAACTGGTCAAGGAAACGATTGAGGCGTTTGGTTGTGAAATACTTTCGCATGCGGCTTACTCACCAGACTTGGATCCGTCCGATTACTACTTATTTGCATCGATGGGACACGCACTTGCTCAGCAGCGCTTCACTTCTTACGAAGATGTACGAAAATGGCTAGATGACTGGTTTGGCTCAAAAGAGCAACAATTTTTTTGGCGTGGCATCCACAAATTGTCAGACAGGTGGGAAAAATGTATAGCTAGCGATGGGCAATACTTCGAATAAAATATTTTTTATCATTTTCATGCAATAAACGTGTATTTTCTATTTAAAAATTCCGGTTTCATATTTACATACCTGGTATATGTATATCCCGAACTTTTTTGCCAATCACTTTTGTGCAGATAGAGCGGACTAAACTGAGTCGAAAAGTCCTGTACTATTTCGCAATTTTCGCAGTAGTTAACAAGATATTAATTATTAAAATTGCCAAATATTGGTCCTGAATAATTTTTTACTCAAATACTGAACTTTATAGAAAAGCTACAAGAGAGACAAAAATAATTTATTTCCTTCTCATAAGGTTTTGAGAATTTTTTCAGAAATTTTTAATATCGTATTTTTTCTCATGTCGATAAAAATAAGAAAATGCAGTACTAAAATGTTAACAAAAAATTTTTTTTTAATTCTCTTTTTAAATTCACTTTATGAGAAGAAAATTAATGATTTTTGTCTGTTGCAGTTTTTCTGTAAAATTGATACTATTTGAGTAAAAAATTATTCAAGGCCAATATTTGGCAATTTTTAGTACTTGTTAACTATTGCGAAAATTGCAAAATTGATAAAGGACTTTTCGACTCAGTTTAATCCGCTCTATCTATACAAAAGCGATTAGCAAAAACTTTCGGGACACCCTGTATGTATATATATATATAT